TCCTTTTTATTTTGATTGCCTGGGGGGGGGGGTGAAGGTTTCATGGGAATCAATACCAAAAAAAAAAACTATCCCAAGAATGGGTTAATATATCTAAGACGTGTTTTCATTGCCAGGAGTGATGATCAGACCCTTCGCCCATAGCCTTAACTTCAACTTCAACGTTTCCGAACCTGACACTTGGCAGCATTATGTCATTAGCCTAAATGGCTTTCTCCAGGGTAAGTTCCTCTGAAGGGGGGAAATCTCTTTGGAAGGATGATGGGGATGGGGATTCAAAATTCACAATGCACCAGAAACCCCACTCTTATTAACCCCAGCCCATCCCGGTCTTTCTTTACCTTGCACCTCCCTCAGCAACTGTACATACAATCAAAACCGCTCTAGTTTGGGATTGTATGTTGCCTTGAAAGCATATAAGCCAACTCTCCAGCACTCTGCTAAGTTCACTGGGGCAGAGAACTTGTTTTCTTTTCTTGAACATTCTAGGGCACCTACTTATGTCCTGGGCTCATCCAGATGAGTCCTGGGCTCAGTAATTATGAAAGATAATTCGAGGTGGGGGTAGTGTTGAGGAAAGAAGGGTGTTTTCCAGAACAGGAAGATTCCTGCCCCCCTATACTTTCTCAAGGGAAGGGAATTCATTGCTTGGAGATGGGCCATCTTCAAGGAAGAGAGCAAGGGTCTTCATTTAATAGCATCCCAACAGGGAGTTAGAGGAAGAATCTCTCTGGGTGACAGTCACTCCAGCATTTTGATTGCAAGTGTTTTCAAGATGCCTATCTCTATAGCGTCATCAGATACCCTTTCAGGGACAAATGAGTGGCTTCTTGAGAAGCCCTTCCAAAGAGTGAAAACTGAGGTAGCAATCTGTTGAGGGTTCAACACAGAGCACACAGGCTATCAAAAAGGAGCCCCAGTGGGTTTACCTTGCTGCACCAATTATTTGTGGCAAAAAGCCAGTTGGATCGGTCTGGTTGTCCCTTCCTGGCCAAAGGGGGTACAGATAGGGAGTGGTAGAATGTGCACTGAATTAGGAGAAAAACAATCTCTTACGTGGTGGGAAGTGTTATGTAAATGCATAAATTTTGTCATTTAACCTTAATTCTGCATAGCAGAATCTACTGTCTCCAGTTTATGAATGGGGCAACTGAGGCTCAGAAAGGGGAAGTAACAGGGTGCCCGAGTAGCTCAGTTGGTTAAGCGTCCGACTTCGGCTCAGATCATGATCTCGAGGTCCGGTCTGTGAGTTCGAGCCTTGCATCGGGCTCTGTGCTGACAGCTCAGAGTCTGGAGCCTTCTTTGGATTCTGTGTCTCCCTCTCGCTCTCTGCCCCTCCCCCGCTCTCTCTCTCTTGCTCTCTCTCTCAAAAATAAATAAACATTAAACAAATTTAAAAAAAAGAAAGAAAGAGGAAGTAACGTGATTAAAAGTCTCCTGGCAGCTGAACCAGTGTTTAAACCCACATCCGTGGTTTTGACCCCCTTGCTACTCAAAGTGCGATCCAAGACCCGCAGCATCGGCATCGCCTGGGGGGGTTGCTACAAAGCCAGGCTCTCGGGCCCTGCCCCAGACCGGTTGGGTCAGGATCTGCACTTAAACAAGATCCACAGGTGATCTGTATGAACTTTAAAGATTGAGAAATACTGCTTTTCATAATTCTTTGCTGCTGCCATATGACCAGGAGTTAGAAACTCAGTTTTGTATCTATCAGTCATGCTCAGTGTCATTTTGGGTAAGTCTGAGTTTCAGATCCCTCACTTGTAAAATGAGGGGGGCTGGGTCCTCTCTGAGTCCATGTAGTTCCTTTTTGAGCTAAAAAAAAAAAATGTTTTGGGCATCTTAGCCGGCGCAGTATCTTCTTTTCTTTCAAAATACTTGTGAGATATTACAGGCGTGTTGCCAGAATCTCTGCTGAGGAAATCCCTCCGAGAAGCTAGTAGATGGAGAAATACCGATTCTGACCTGATGACAGAGGTGGAGAACAGTAGGGAAAGCACTGGGTTTTTAGTTCCTAAGTGTAGATAACATGCCCTACTTAAAAGGGACACATCTCTGAAATAGACATCCCAGAGTATCAATTTCATTCCCAGGAGGACTGGGATTTTGCAATAAGGGTCATGCCCATGTCACATTATTTTTAATGGAACTATCTCAAGAGAAACAATGAGCATGTGATTAGAGCTTCTATTTAGAAACTTATTATTTGCACATAGTTCTTGTTCTAAAAAAAAGATTAAAACAAAACCTTGAATTGAATGTAGCTTTGTCAAAGGCAAAATAAAGGCTTAACCATAATTGGAATAGATTTTAAATTCCCACTTGCTCCTGAACAATATTAAACCCAAGTCACAACCTGTCTAGATGAAAACCCAGCAGGACATTTGGAGTTTTACCACTGGTAGATCACAGGTGCACAATTTCCTCTGAAAAATGAAGCTATTGGAGGGGCACCTTGGTGGCTCAGTTGGTTAGGCATCTGAATTCAGCTCAGCTCATGATCTCACAGTTTGTGGGTTCGAGCCCCACGTCAGGCTCCACACTAGTAGTGGGAAGCCGGCTTGGGATTCTCCCTCTCCCTCTCTCTCTGCCCCTTCCTCTGCTCGTACTTTCTCCCCCTCTCAAAAGTAAAAAACAAATCTAAAAAAAAAAAAAAAAACTAAGATACTGGGAACATGAGTGCACAGAGGCTGGATCTAGCAGGACTAACTAGATTCTATCATTTAAAACAAAACTGGAAATGATGCAATAATTTCCAAAGCTCAGTTCCATGGCATCTGGTGGGCCAAAGAGTGAGCTCCCAGACAGCCCCTTTTAGCTCTCTCCCTGATGTGCATGCCTTGCGCACATGTTACGTTCCATCCAATGTAAAGGGACGTGAACTCTGAGTGCCTCGGGTCTACTGAGTGCCTCAGTAGAGAAGATCTTACCCTCTCAGTGGAGGCTCTATGGTTGTTGTTAGTTTCTGTCTTTCTTTTTTTCTTTTCTGAAAGTTATTAGAGAGAGAGAGCGCGCGCGCATATGCTAGGGGCAGAGAGAGAGAGACAGAATCCCAAGGAGGCCCCTCTGTCAGTGTAGAGCACCACAGGGGCTCTAACTCATGAACCGAGATCAAGAGTCCCATGCTGGGATGCCTGGGTGGCTCAATCGGTTAAGTGTCCAACTTTGACTCAGGTCATGATCTCACAGTTCTTGAGTTCAAGCCCTACATGGGGCTCTGTGCTGACAGCTCAGAGCCTGGAGCCTGCTTCCGATTCTGTGCCCCCCTCTCTCTCTGCCCCTCCCCTGTTTGTGCTCTGTCTCTCTCTCAAAAATAAATGAACATTAAAAATTTTTTAAAAAGAAAGAGTCTGGTGCTTAACCGACTGAGCCACCCAGGCGCCCCTGGTTTCTGTCTTTCAACCTAAGCTTCTGTTTTGCAGTGCTAACTTCCCTTGGTAAGGGATGAGAAGCTGGTTTTATCTCCTCTTCTTCCTCCCTCTCTTCTTCTTCCTCTCCCTTCCTCCTGTCCCAAAACACGCACGTCTCATTCTCTTGCATCAGGTGGCTCTCATGGACCTCAAAGGGAGATGTTTCCCAGACTGAACTTAAAGAGATTTAGTCCAAGAGTTTCACTCCTTTATATAAGCCATGCCATGACATGATTCAGTCCCTCTTCCAAGATCTGTCCACCGTGTACCTATTCCTCTTCCAGAAGTAGAAGAGGCTGCCCCCCACGCTTACAATTTGCTATAGCTGAAAAGAAATAATGGAGAATAGAGAGAAGTTATAAGGTGACCAACACATGACCCAGAGGTAGATATTCCAAAGTTCCGAGGCAATGAGAAGCAATCAGATGATGGGCTGAGGGGACTAGCCCCAAAGCCTTCCCGGAAAGATGTTACTGATGAAAGTCCCCGGGGAACGGAGGCCCGGTCACAGAGCCTGGGCCAGACGGACTGGCCTTTCAGAGGCTCACCAGCAAGCTGGGGAAAGGAAACTAGGGAGGAGGACTACTGAAAGCATGGCCTTCCCCTGTAGCACCCGTCTAACGTGACCCTTTGCCACCCACACACATGCTTTAGGTTACAATGACAGTCTTCAAGAGGAAATGAATGTGGATTGTCCCCCGGGGCAGTACTTCATCCAAGATGGCGACGAGGATGAAGACAAGAAGGCCTGCCAGTTTAAGCGCTCCTTCCTGAAGAACTGCTCGGGCTTGGAGGACCCTACTTTTGGCTACTCTACTGGACAGCCCTGCATCCTTCTAAAGATGAACCGGGTATATTAGCCCTTGATACTCCGGCGATGATAAGTTGGATGAGCTGGGTAGGAGGGCTCTGGCCACTCCATTTCTCTTGGGCTCTGTCTTCATACACTGCAAGTTCGGCCATTTTTACTGACAGCATCATTAATACAAACAACCAGATCAACCTATCAAGCAATAATAGCTTTTTCTCCCTGAACACTTCCTATTTCCACTCATCTCCCCCATCCCCAGCCTGCCCTTTGATGCCCTCTATCAGTAATGAGGTCCTGGGCTGTTTGGAACAGGGGACTGACACGACGTGGGGGGACAATTCTCATAGCATAAAAAATGCATTTTCCTCCTCTCCTGCCATGCCTTAGGTGGGGTAGAGCCTTACCCAGGCACATCCCTCTTAAAACCAGAAAGTTCTTTACATCTTCAGGATTCTCTTGCTGCAGTTACCATCGTATGAACATCAGTCACAAACACCACTAGGGGAAAGCCAAGCTGCACAGTTCTGAAGATATTTTGCATTATTTGTCCTCTGTAACATTCCTGAGAGGGCAACATAGATGAACTTTATGCCTAAGGAAGGGATGGCTTAAGGGCGGTTAAGAAAAGTCTCATTTTTTATTGTCAAATCTGTTTTCTTTTTTTGATT